TTTATCTCTGTTTGCTATTAGTCACAGGGTTAGCCAGTACTTAAAACACATCCAACCCGAACACCGCTTCCAGCTCCAGGGAATACCTTTAAATAATTGCATGGGATGAGTAAGCAGACCTGGCTCTTATCAAAATAATTTGCACAGAAAGTGTGAAAAACACAATTTCTTAGTTATTTGTGTAGATGTTACACTTACTGTGAGGGTGGAAAACACTCAGCATTTCTAGTAGCTCCCTCTGCCCACAGTAGGATAGATCCTGTGAGTCTTCCCAGAATTTCAAAGAAAACAAAATGTGCTTTTTAATCAATTACAAAACTGACATGGGGGGGGGGGGGGAGAAAGAAGAATCAGTTACAGAAAATCTAGGAGCTGAATAGCCAAACTTTTATTTTCTTCTGCAGTTTTCCTTGTCCAGCTCCGCTTTGCAAAAGATTTTTGAAGACTGTCCTACTGCCCTCTGTGGGCTTTACTGTAAAGTACCTTAAATAGCCCTTTGGGCATGTGTTGGGACATGACTCCCTCAGAAACTTTTGCTTCTCTCATGCCCATGTGCTGCAGCTGCTTATTAAAATGATATCTTAATTTTACAAGGCCAACTGTACATCCTCCATGCCTTCCAATGCAGTAAGAAGCCTAAGAGAAGGCATCTGTAATGGCTGTTTCGTCTTGCTTGTTCTGAAAGCCAATGAGATATAAACTCATCTCCAAAGAAACATACAGAAATGAAAGAATTAATGATAAGTTTGGACGGAAGATCCTGGTACATATGAGATCCTGCCCTAGTTTTGGTTGAGGTGCTTTGTTTCAGTCATCATTGTGTGGTTTTCACGGGCTGGGCTGAGGAGTTTTGCAAGAGAATTGAGTGGATAATAAATATTGCTGTAAGATTTATACATTAGAAAGTCTTTGTGAAGCAGAAATGGTGATTTTTGCATTTCTCTACAATGGTCAGTTTTTAAAGAATGTAAAAATAACTGCTGCTTTTTAGCTTCAGCTGCTCCATGTCCCCTGGCAATCTGGGGAATGAGACGCAGAACAGACAGTGCCTGGGGGTGCTCTTCTGCACCATCGCTGTCCAGGGCATTAGCTCAGCTCCAGAGAAACCACAGAATTAAGATAGTTTCAATTTATTCTCATTTGTCCAATAACATGGCTAAATCTCATATTTATTTATGGTATCTACCAAACTAGAGAGATGCAAGAATGTTTTTTTTTTTCTCAGTGGTCTATTTGGATTCTAATTTGTAAGGTGCAATTATTGCAATGAATTTTTACCAGTGCCCCCTTCAAGGAACTAGACCTGAGTGTGCTCAAGTTGTCTGTTTCCAAGTCAGTATGGAAATGGGCATTAGATGGTTGTAGTTTTGGCCATGGTGCTTCTGGGCTTTAAGTACTGCCAGTAGCCACTACACATCCTAGGGAAGAAACCTTCCTCTGATCTACAGCATTGTAAGAGCCAAACCAGCATGCTTCCACGTGCTGGAGGCTGTTGAATGTGATTATTTTACTCGGCTGCAGCATAAACTTCCATTTACACCAAACCATGGACAACCATACTTCTGGAACTTCTGGAAAACAGGCCTGTGGGCAACTGGCCCTCCAGTTAAATTTCCTGCTAACACAGTCCCGGCTTGCCAGAGTCCCCTGCTCGTACATGTTCCTTCCCACCAGTGGGTTTCCACGCACACTCACTGCGCCAGGCAGAGGAAGGTAGCCGGGGCTGGAGCACCCCCTGCAGGGACCTTCCTCCCGTCACGGCGCCGGCCGCGGAGCCGCCTGCCCGGGAGGAGGTGGGCAGGGACACCTCCAGCCCACCGCTCTCCTCCGGACTGCCGAGATGGACAGAGCCAAAAGGGCAGAGGGATTGTGTTGTGCGAAGCCTCGGCTCAGGGATGCCAGCAGTGCAATACGCCTGCTCTGCTGGGAGGGAACGCGAAGGACATTCTTTGGGATGTAGCATGATTATGGAGATGATAACACAGGTGCTGCTTGGTATGAACCATCCTCTTTGCAGCATGAAGGCATCTATAATTTTAAGCCTTTATTATTATTTTTTTTTAAATTATGTAATTAACAAAATAATTTATTATTATCATCCGATATTGAACTAAGTTGCAAGGCCTCCATTTGCTTTTGTGAAAGTTTTCCCTACCAAAACCACCATGATGGTTGTCCTATTTCCCAGCTCAAGGCCTCATACTCAAGTTTCCACTCAGCTTTCAAACGTGCTGGAAATAAACAGAAATTCTGGCTTCCAGGAATTTCATTTCAGTGCTGACTGTGACCACGACATTGAGCAAGGCTCCAGACTTGACAAACATTTGTTTTGAATATCATTGCTTACGGGCACTGGCAGAGGAGCACAGTTCCCTGCTCCAGTGGCTTGCAATGTGTAGGGCAAACATTATTGTCTAAGATTTAGCCTATTGTCAACTAGTTGCATCAAAATCTTGTAGTCCTATAATAAACTAAAAGGAACAAAATAGTGAAGGTTAATACCATCTGTTAAAGGTAGTATGTTCAGGATTACATGTCACAGCTTGCTAGAAGTGGAGTTGTGGTACACAGTTTGCTTGGAGAAGGAGTGCTGTGTAACTACAGCACTTGGCTGTCATCTGCTGAGATGTAACTGAGGTATTAAATTTGATGTAAACAAGGAAGGAACTTCATGACAGTATTTGGTTTGCATTCTTGAGCTTCCTGTATGAAAAGGGAAGGTAGAGAAGGGATTCTTTGTCAAAATAGTGTTAAAAGAATTAGCCTGTCTTGGATACATCAATATCCACCTATGAATATGGCACCTATACTTTTGCCACTTCAATAGGTATACAAAATAGCTCAGAAAAATAAAGTCTTTCTTTTCATTTTTGCAATTCTCAGTGGCTTGCTCTGGGCACATTTCAACACCATCACTTCTTGCACTTAGGGAACACAAACCTTCTTAGTCCTCTTTTCCATTTGAATTGGAAAAGCAGCTCAAAGAACTGGCAGTTCCAACAACTATCTCAGCAATATAACAGCACATGATATGTTTCTTCTCAATCTGAAGCGTGCCTGACCCATGATTGCAAGGGAAGCTCTTAATCTCTTTTTAAAAATCAACTTTCCACTTTCCAAGGCATAAGAAGGTGAAAACATCTGACTCATGAACAATAGTACAAAATTTATTTCTTGTTTTATATTATGAATCTAAGTTCCATTCCTCTTAATGTTTATATTTTGAAATAGTGGCTCTTTCTGAAGCCAGTGCATAAGTTGAGTTACTTTCGAGAACGGTCTACTGCTGTCTGACTAAGTTATGGCCCTCAGGTATAACAGGCTGCAGCTAAGCTCTCAAGCTTCTTTGAAAAGCTTTTTAAAAAGACTCTTCCATGCTGCCTTTAATCTATTTATATTTACTATTAAACTTCTATCATCAGTGGCTTTATTCATTGTTGCCCTGGTCTTTGTGTGCTCTCCTACACAATCAATGTAAAAGTCCTTATACAATTAAGTCTGTACTTGTAGAACATAGAGTGCCATTCCCATGGGGAAAAAAAGAAAACCAACCAAACAAAAACACAACAGGAAAGTAAAGGCCCATCTTTCTTATGGGCATGTGGAAATACAACCTCTAGCTAAACAGATCACTGAAAAAAATCCAAACTATCCTCTGATCATAAGTTACTAAGAAAGGTAGTGTCATTTTTAAAGCTGTCTTGCCACTTTTTAATTTCTCCCCCCAATACAGACAAGTATTCAAAGTATTTCACAAAATGTAATGAAGATCAAGATTTTTGGTTCCATTTCACAGACCTAGAAATGGAATAATAGTGGCTGTGAATGATTTATTACAATCCAGAGTGAAGTTAGTAAAAGTCGGATAAAAAACCTACAGTGCTGTAATGAAGTAGATCTTTTGATCTAAACAGAAAATCGTGAACTTTGTATGTGCTTCACCACCTATACACTAGCTAAAGGTGACACAGGATATGGATACACTGGGTTTCATTCTGGTTTTCTCATAAATTACTGTTTTAGTGTTTCTACTCGCTGCCTTAAGGCTCAGTCCCTATCCTGCCAAGCTCGGGTCTGGACTGAAATTTCCAAACCGATCGGCCACGGTGCTGCTAGGTCTGTCCTGCAATGTGGCCTGAGGCATCTTCATGGCTGATGCAGCAAGACAGCTCTGCGAAGTTGAGTTCTGCAATTATAGATCTCTGCAGGGAATTTGAGCTGGCGGTGGAAAGTAAGAACTCCTGCATTCGCTCTTTGCAGTCAGCGGACAGGGGATACTGGGAGCATTGGAAACAAGTAGCTGACTGATGGTGGGTTGTAAACACAGGAGCGAACTGGTGTAGTGCCTGGTCCCTCCAGACGGCCGACCTGGAAGCACAAGTCCTTTGCTGATGTCCAGGGGCCGTAGGCAGTGACCCGTGCCCTTGCCTGTCCCCGAGCCCTGCCCCGAGTGCCCCGGCGGGCAGGGGGCCCAGCCGCAGGCAGGAGGCACAGCCATGGGCAGGGGGCACAGCCGCGGGCAGGGGACACAGCCGCGGGCAGGGGACACAGCCGCGGGCAGGAGGCACGGCCGCGGGCAGGGGACACAGCCGCGGGCAGGGGACACAGCCGCGGGCAGGGGGCACAGCCGCGGGCAGGGGACACAGCCGCGGGCAGGAGGCACGGCCGCGGGCAGGGGCTGCCGCCGCACCCCCGCCGCTCTCGCCGGCCGGGCCCGCGCCCCCAGCCCCGCCGCCAGTGACCCGGGCCCGGCGGGAGCGGGATCGGCATTCGAGGCTGGAGGGACCGTGCCCGTCGGCGCCGCTCCCGAGGGCTCAGCCTCGCCGGGGCCGGGCTGACACGGGCGAAGCCGTGCCGGGCCGTGCCTGGCAGCGCCGGGCGGGGCGGGCCGGGGCGGGGCCGGGGCGGGGCGGCCGTGGCGCGGCTGTGGCTCGGCACGGGCCGGCACGGGGGGCGCGGCGCGGCCCGGCACGGCACAGCACGGTGCTGCCTCCCGCCGGGCCGCGCCGGGCGCAGGGGGGGAGAGAGGGTGGGAGGGAGAAAGGCAGGGAAGAAAGGAAGGAGGCAGGGACAGAGGGACCCCACGGCGCCGCTCGGAGCCCGGCCCGACCCCGGGAACACGACAAGTGCCTGGCACGGGATAAAGTTATCCCGGAATAAGGCTGCACGCATGTGCGTCACCCCGGATGTGAACATGCCGGCCCGGCTCCCCGCTAGCTCACTCCGCCTGGCTCCAGCGGATGGGCTGAGCCGAGCCGTGCCGAGCCGAGCCGTGCCGAGCCGTGCCCGCGGCCCTGCAGCCCGGTAGGGGCTGGGGGAGGCCGGGCCCCCCGGCGCCCTCGAGGGCCGAGGTGCGAGAGCCCCTCCCGGCGGGGCAGGGGCAGGTGCGCAGCCCGGGGCGAGCGGCGGGCGGGCCCCCGGGAGCGATGGATTTTCGGGGGAAGAAGTACGAGCGCGGCAGTAACTGGTCGGACCCCGAGGTGGTGGAGCTGCTGCAGCTCTGGGCCGACGAGTCGGTGCAGATAGAGCTGGAGAGCTGCTTGCGCAACCAGCACGTCTTCAACCGCATCGCCGAGGTGCTGCGGGAGAAGGGCATCCACCGGACGGGCGACCAGTGCCGGGAGAAGATCAAGAAGATGAAGCTGGAGTACCGGCGGATCAAGGACAATAGCAAGGCTCCACGGGGCGGGCGGACGTGGAAGTTCTACGAGGTGATGGACCGGGTGCTGACCAGCCGGCCGGCCCTGGCCTATGGGTCTCTGAGCGGCAGCATGATGGCTCAGCAGGTGCTGCAGGGCAGCATGGTGGAGAGCTACCACCATCAGTTTGGCTCCTCAGCCTTGCCCTTTGGACACTCTCAGCACCCTGAACTGATGGAAATCAAATGTGAGGAGGTGAACTCTGATGACCACAGCTTGACCCCAGAGCCCCCACAAGCCATGTCTTACCAGCAGGGCTCCCCTGAAGAACAGGAGATGGAGAGAGCCTTCTTGGAGAGGGCCCAAAACGACTCTCCCATCTCCAGGGTGGAGATTCCCATTGAAACCAATGTTTCACCTTCAGGTAGGGATAGCCTTTTACATTCCAGCATAGGGTTTCTGCCCATTTTCCCAGAAAGAGTTTTTCCCTGGTGCAGAGGTAGACACCTGGTTGTCACATTGACATTCAGATCCTTGTTTTTCCACCTCCCAAAAAGCTTTAAAGTAGAAGGCTGATATCTGTGTTCATAGTCTTCTGGCCATTCCTAAAGCGTGTCTTGCTGAAGGTAAATAAAATCTAGAATTACTGAGTTAGGCTAAATACTGTGTATGAAATCCAAAGGCTGGAATGTCAGCCATAAGCTGGGCTAGGTGTTTGTGCTGGATTTCTGCATATAATGCTGACAGTGCTTACCTTACTGGAAAAAAAAGCAATTGCATGCTTTTTGGTATCATTTGAACATAACCAGGGCTGTCTGCAGTCCTCATGCTGAATTGTATCAGGAGATCTTCTTTTGCCTCTTCTGCCATGGTTGCACTATAAACCTGCAGGTGAAACTTTCCTTTCATTCTTTTAAAATATATTTAGTGGGACTTGTGCAGAGGTCACCGGCAGAAACAGCATATTTGTGTACAGGAGATAGACTCGTGCACTGAAAGTACAGTTGGCCATTGCTTAGCTGTCGGGAAGGGTACAGTCTGGAAATCCTGGGGATTTCAAACCAGTCTAGGACAGGCTGATGGAAAAGCATGATATGTTGGAGAAGAAGAGAGATGATAACCAGTGTGAAGTTAATGTCTGAGATCAGGAGGAAACGCTATGTCCTCTTCGCTGTGTTGATTGCATAGTTAGTCCAGTGGAGGGAACTGATGATCATCCACGTTAATACAGAGGCTGAGTCTGGGGCTGGGGCTGGTGCCGTAATCGTATGCCCAATGTGTGCTGTTCAAAAACAAACTTCAAAAAAATTTGCAAACCTCAAGATGTACCTGACAGGTTTTACTTTCTGTAAACCCTGTAGTAGATCAAAAGGCATTCCAAGGATGAGCAGGGGAAGGCAGCAAAGCATGTCCATGCCGCTTTGTTTGCTGTGCATTTACTTTCTCTTCCTTGCTTTTATGTATTCACAGGTTTCAGTGAGCCCAACATGGCAAACTCATCACGGATCCAGAATGTTGTTCACCGGCCTGGCTTCTCTGCCTTGCACCGGCTGAGAAAAAAGCGGAAAGGCCAGCGCATGAGGGACCCGCTTGATGATCTCTTGCTGAAGACTCTGACATCTCAGCGGGCCATGGAAGAGCGCTTTTTGCAGATGGAAGAACGCCGATTTCAGCGAGATCTGGATGTGGAGGAGCGTCGAATGCAACTGGAGCAGCGACGGTTTGAACTGGAGCGGGAGCATGAGTTTCGCATGTTCAATGTCTTTGCCCAAATGCTCAGCATCCTAAAGCAGAGCCATAGCAGCTCCTCCTCCTCCTCTGTTGTCATGCCTCGGAGCTTGGACTTCAGCCAGGCACTGTCTGAAATGGAGGGAATGGGAGGAGGAGGGGGCAACCTGCAAGAGATGCGAGTTCGTCCACTTACCAAGAGGAAGGTTGACATGCATGGCTTCTGTAACCCCAGCGGCTTCCAGAGAAGCCCCTATCTCTCTGCTCGTGGCAACTTTGCCAACATGTTTCAGGGCTCCACTGAGGAAGGGTACAAAGCTTATCATGCTGACAAATATGATGAAGACAAGAACCCCAATGTAAGTAAGAAGATCTAAGTGTTTTCCTGGCTTTCTGGCTAGGAAAAGAACCACTTTCTTAGAGGTAGAGGTTTGCTGACAGATATGCCAGAAGTGTGGGGGTTTTTTTTCTTGATTTCACTAATTCAAGGTGGATCAAACTGTTTGTTTGAGGAAAAAAATTATAAGTAGCTTTGCAGATCATATAGATATCAAAGATGAATGCTGTGCTCAGTTAAGGTTTGCACACTCTGATTTCTCTATTGGGGAAGGTAATACACCTTGAAAAATGTAAGAAACCTGTAGGAACAGAGCTCATGTTTTTCCTTGCACCTCCTCACCTCTATTACCCAATGAAGACCATCTCTGATTATCTAATTATATCTGATTATTGCAGGTGTTGGGTGCAGGAGATACAACTACTAAGTAGTAGACTTTTTTTAATTACTTTTATTAACACTCAGCACTTTTTCTGCCTGTTTACACTTAGCTGTTCAGTTTTAAGTAGCTCATCATAGCCCTCTTGTGGCACAAAGGCTGCTTGTTAATACTTCATGGCAAATTATTACTGGGTAACAACTATAGTAAATATAAATATCGTTTTGTATGTGGATTACTTTAAAATAGATCATTCAGATACTGAACTACTTGAAACTTTAAATATTTTATTACTAGCCCCAACTTAGTCTCCCTGTGTTGGGAGGTAAAACCTAGATTTTTAAGCTAGAAAAACATGGGCAAGTTTATATTACAAGATGTGAAGCACAAGCTACCGCTCCTACCAACTCTTATCTATGTAGGAAGTAGCTTTTTAAACAAATACTTGAAGTTGGACTTGTACTTTAATAGCATCAGAAGCATATAGTTACTTATATTTTCGCATTTTTAGAATTTATTCACCCAACCTCTTCCAATAATGAAAGTGTGCTAGCAGATTTGAACTCTTCAAGGTCTAATACCATGCTATATATGGCCAAATCATACATAGAACTGTAGGGTCATCTCTCCAGAGGGGAAAATTCAGTGTTATAAACACTTTTCATGACTACATGTTTATGTGGTTTCTAAGCAAATCAGTGCTGTGGAATGGTAAGATCTGATACACAAATGCTTTCAAGTAAAGAAACGTGTCCAAAACATTGTTTAAAACAGCTGCAGAAGGTAAACCCCATTTTTTTTCAAAGTTATTTTAGGTTTTCTTTTTTTAGTTACACATAGCAGTAAGTGAATTCAAGATTAAGTTAAACATATTCTGTAAAGAAGTATAAACCATTAGTACCTACTCATTTACAGATTGTTTATTAACTGAGTGCTTGGAATATATATGGAAACACACACACATAGATGAGTGTCTTGAGTTATATATGGTGAAGTTTATGTGAACTGTGTTTTGATTTTTCCTTGGTAAGCTTTTTGGAAGCAATTTAGTGAAGTGATATCTAAGGTGATGTATGCATGTTTTATGTGTCTATAAACAATACATTTTTTTTTCTTTTTAGGGTATAATAAACTTTGGCACCAGTGAGAATAAACTCTGCTTTGACCTGATGTCTAAGCGGGTAAGTTCTATTCCAAAAAGAAACACTGAATTTGCTGCATATCCTCAATCCTGCTCAATGCTTGCAATTTCCTAGAGTTACTGCTGTTGCTCAGGCTCTCTGCTAAAGCTTTTAATTGTGAATTTTCATTGTGAATTTTGTGAAGTCACTTTTGAATCCATTATGTTATTTTTCCAGGAGGATAGGAACAGGAGTGTTTTTTTCCTCCTCTTTATGATGGGTTTCCCTTTGGGGATGTACTTGGTTCAGAAAACTAAATGAAAATAAGATTATTTTCCTCTGCTGACAGTTGATGATTTAATACAGATGCTTTGAAATTAGTTTTGAACTCTATTTAATTTCAAGGATCTTCACATCTGTTCGTTATGAAGTCACACAGTTTGGATACCTGGTTCTGAATTCACCTGAAATATGCAAGGGTGGCAGCAGTGAAATCTCTCAAAATTGAACTGGGTCACCTGGTACCTGCTCACTTTGTTCAGTTCCACCAGCTAGAAGAATGAAACACACAGCACAACTGAGAAAGTAGAAAAAACCAAAAGGAAACAGCAGAATTGTGTTGTAGAGGAATGTTTGTCCTAGATTTCCAGTAAAATCACTTCCCAGGTGGCAGCCTTTGAGGTGGGCAGGTGGCACTTTCTCTTGCCCGTAGTTGTCTGTGGGGTGGGAAGGTGGCTCAGGGTTGGACACTCAGTCTTTACGTGAAGTTCATGGTTGCTTCCATTCCACCAATTCCCACCTTCAAAATGTTCCTTGTTTTATTTCTACCTGCCACTCCACTGACTCGGGGGGATGCTACCCCACCACTCTGCCTTCCAGCTAAAAGAACAGGTAAGGCAGAGCTGCTGCCGCCTGCATGAAAATGGTGCCTTCTAGGCTGCATAGGTGGGACCTTCCTTCCATCAGTGTCCTTTCTCCTTTAAACCAACACCAAGCTGCAGCAAGTAGTGCAGAGGGAGACAGTAGTCAGCTACATCCTAATTAGCCTTTCTATAAAAATGAGTTGAGACTGTCATCTATACTGTTCAAACTTGTGGCAACAAGTTGAACAAAGAGACTGTTTCCAGCTTCTCAGTCATCGCAGCCTGGAGTCACAGTATGGATTCACTGAATGCAGCACCAGCTGGGATTGTAGGCAAATAATTTTTTACTGTTTGGGACAATAAATACTTAACTGTTGCCACTGAATAATGTATCTGATTTCTGTCTTCAACTTCTGACCCTTAAATTAGAGAATATTTTGTGGTGTGTGAGATCTCAGATGGTCTTCCTTTCAGTTAGCCCATCTGGCTTCCTTAGCCCTTAACACATTTTTTTTAAGAGTTCTCCTCTTATTATTGCATAGTCATTTTTGGCCAAGTCTGCTGGTATGTTTTATGTAGCATTCTCTAGAAAAGTTTAAGAGAGAGATCTGAGGCACAGTTCTGTGCTGTGTTGGCTCCAATAACATCTACAGCTCAATAAAGGAATTTAATCCTATAATATCAAGTTGTAATTCTGCATGGCATAAGGACACTGCCTTTAAACTCCAGAGCTTTGCACCAGATATTGAAACACCTATACAAAATGTTACGGTTTTGTTATCATGTGTGAAATTTTCACGCTGCATATTGAATTTCCCTCCACCCTTGCACTGTCACCTACTTGAGTCCACCTCCTACCTTTACCTTTCTTTAACATTATCTCACAGATGTGATTGTCATTAAATTATACATTATACTTAATACTTGTTTATTCCCTTTTTATTTATCTAAAATGTCCTATTCTCTTTATCTCTATCAATGCTGTGCTTTCCTTTGCAACTTCACAGAACTGGATTATGTGAAATCCTGATATTTATAACCTTGAAAATATTTAGGTAAAAGCAGTCTACATATTTTATCTAAATATAAACATTAAAAAGGACTCCACAGTTCAGGTGAATCTGCCTTTGAGAACAAAATGAACTCCTCGTAAGGAACAAACTGCATGCCCAGGGGAAGAATTATCAAGAAGTAAATTTCATTTTTCTCCTGTCTTTTGAAAGCTCACGTTATACTTCAAAACTTATCAAAATTGATCAGAATTATAGAACTGAAGGAGCTGCAGTAACTTGGAACTGAGACATTAATGAAAGCTATTAATTAAAAAGAAATTAATTAAAAATTACCATATTGAAAATTTATTAAAGAAAATGTGTATCTGACTGTGATTCAAATTCCTTTCTAACTCCTGACAATCTAGGCCTGAGCTTTTACAACTGGGACTTGTCTTTCCAGTTGAAAGCTGTTGTCCTCAGAGCTTGAGCAAAAGACTCTTGGAATTGCTTCATTTGCTGAGAAAGTCTTCTGCAGGCATCTCTGTTACGGGCATCATGTGTGTTGCCTGTTCTGTATCCTTTTTTGTAGATCTCTGTGCAGTGAAGTTTTGGCTGCAACAGCTTAGCAGAAGCCCATACTGTCATATAACCTAAAGTTATCACTGATCAGTTTGCTGGTCCTTTCTTCTCCAACCTCCATTAATTTTGATGGTCACTGGCTTTCCCAATCCAGTTTTACAACTGTTGAAGTTGCACGGGTGTGTGTCTATGCAGGTGCGTGTCTGCACACAGATCCCATCTATCTGCGTGTTTCTCTTACCAGTGAATGTGCTTTTAATGGTTCTTCTCGTTGCTCCCAGCTGACGCAGACTGATATGGATCTGATGGAACCTTCACTGCTTCAGTATCCTGACTGGAAAGGACATCTGTTGTAAGTCTTTTCTGTAATGCTTCTCTTTTTGACTACTTGTTTAATAAGCAGAGTAGATGAAGAGAAACCGCTTAGGCTACATTTGCTAGTTAAAACTTTTCTAGGTTATTTAATCATCTTTTTCTTTGCAAAACTGTAAATTAGCTGTTCTACCAACTAATCCAGACAAAAGCTCTTTTATGGAGAGAAAGTGCAAGTTTTCTAAATAAAACACAGTTTTAAAAGCACTGTGTACATTAACAAATTGGGTAACTTTAGGCAGTTCTTTGAAATATAGTGACTACTTGGGAACAGTAATCCTTCTCTTCTGTACACGTTTAAAGCTCATGAGAAATGCAGGCACCATTATTGACATTATCAACATTATCCATGACCTCTACTGTGTGTAAAAATCCTGTCTGTTGCATGGGTCTATCCTGTTTTCTAGCCATTTCCATCACACTTTACTATGCCCTGACTTTATTTTCCTAAGATGTGAACCTAGTTTGGAAGCCCAGCCTCTTGGAGAATAAGCTGAATCAATGTTTGCTTTTGTATATTTTTCAGTTTACGTGAGGAAGTGGCTCGATTTTTGACCTATTATTGCAAGGCCCCTGCACCTCTTAAAGCAGAGAATGTAAGTAACCCAGTGCTCATTGGTGTCTTTTCTAACGTATTGCCATTTGTTGGTACTCAGGTTCAACTTCTGTTCTTTTAAACAAATGATTTAGTAAGAATGCAGCCTTTTATCATGAGTGATTCTTCATTTCAGTAGCTTTTGATGCACACTTCCATTTCAGTAATTTGCTTTTGATGCAAACTTCAGCCAAAACATTTCGGGTCTACTGTATATTTGCCTCATGCTTTTCTTTTGTGTGCCAACTCCTCCTACCAGGGCTCTCAGGGGGGCTTTGTGTTTTCACCTCCTTATTCAGCTCAGTGTCCTACTATGCCTGTGTACCTCAGCCTTGACAAAGAGTGCCCATTGTTTCAGTTGAGTTTAATTTCATCCCATTCCGCTGTTACACCTCAGGACAAAGATTTGTAATTGAACCAAGAGGTAGCTTTAGCCTGTAAAACAGACCTTTTCAAACTTTATGCCAGTAAGGAAGGCTTCAAGACCTGAGTCTCTCCAGAACTTGCTGACTTGGGAGAGATATAGGTGCCTGTAGGAATCAGGGACTCCTTGCAGTGCTAACGGCAACAGGAGCTGGTGCAGCCACAGCTTTTCTGGCTGCAGTAGTTCAGCAGAATCTCGTACTTCTTGTGAACTGAAGTTACCACTGGATCAGTTTGCCGATTGCTGCCTCTTCAAGGCACCTGATTCTCCCTGCTACTTGGAATGAAACTTATGGTACCTGTGAGCTTTAGTCTTCCAGAAACAGGAGTCAAACATGCTCCTGTACAAGACCTGTTTCCACTTTTGCACAAATTTGTTGGGAGGTCAGAGCTGCTGAGATGATATTAGCTGCTGAGAAGTAGTTTGCCTTCATAGTTTGCCTTCATAGTAGTTTGCCTTAATAGAACTGCTCCCCATTTTTTTCCCTATTCTTTTTCTAAATTGCTTGTTAGAATCAATAATTGCACCAGAACAAAGTGTCTCTGAACTAGTAGAAGTGGGATTTCAGCAGAAAAATTCCACTAGACAACTGGGGAGAAGATTTATTTCAGTGATATTGTCAGGAATTATTATAGTGTTGTCTTTCTATGTACAGATTTATCACTATCTTCTCTCTTTCTTTTGTAGGTGATTGTTTTAAATGGCTGTGGCTCTTTATTTTCTGCATTAGCTACAGTCCTTTGTGATCCAGGGGGTAAGTGGATGTTTGAAACATGATTTTGTTTTGGTTTGGTTTTTTGCTGGGAAATACTGTGTTACTTCATTTAAATATTGTTTCCCAGAAGTGAAGGAGTAGAATTGGCATTTGCCTTCTTCAAAGTTCTTGTTTCCTGCCAAATTGTGCTGTGAAATTCATCTCCGTTGTTTGCAGATGTCATGCACTTACACTCCATGTCTGCCCTGTGTGCCTTCAATGTTTTTGTGCCCTGCCTGCCTTCGCTGCGTTTTAGTTTGCTAGACTAAACATAGGCTATACTCATGTTTACCTGGGTTCTTGCAGAAAATTAAAGAATTAATGTAAAAGTAAGGGGAAGGCAAGGGCAGCAACACTGCAGTGTTTCCAGAGGGCTCAGTTGTAAAAACACTTTCATGTTTAGCTGAAGTACATTAGGAGAGAGAAGAATTGTGACCTATTGATAACCAATTTTATTTTCTTGGTTCCAGAAGCTGTTCTGATTGCTACTCCCTTTTACGGTGGTATTACCCAGAGTATCTTCCTCTATGGTAATGTCAAGCTGGTGTATGTCTGTTTAGACAGTAAGGTAAGACCTGAGGAATACCAGCTTCTGTAGTTAAATTGATACTGGGAAGTGCTGAGCTTTGTGAACCTCTGGAAGCCATTCTCAGAACAAGGATACACTGCAGCCAGTGGACATTTTCCCAGTTTATTACTAGGAAACTGGGCACATAATTTGCAAGAAAGTAATTTGAGACTTTAAATCTGGATTCTAGTTCTGTCCTTTTCTTGTATCTTACTCCCAATGACAGCCCTTGAAAAGAAAAAAATGACCATTTTTAACCTTGGAGAGAGAAGTATGTCTGTCCTACTAAAGATGGTCCCAGGATGGAAGAGCAGATGGAGATCTTTCATTGTTTTAGTTATTCAAAGATAAGCAGAGAATTCTGTTTGTGGCCAGCCTATGATGACTATTTCTTTGATTTTATTTATTTATTTATTTATCTGTCTATTTATTTATTATCTCTGTGGTATAAAAGGATAAGAAGATAGTTGGTAGGTCATTATTGTTGGGGTTTTTTTCTTTCAGGAAACGTTTCTCAGGGAATTGGCTCAGGGCAGTCTCTATTGAAATAACGTGGCCCTTTTTATCTTTTTTGTGTCTTTCAGATTACTGGAACAAACACTCGGCCTTTCCAGCTTACAGTGGAAAAACTGGAAAAAGCTTTGCAGGACGCCCAGGCAGAGGTGAGTTTAGCTGAGCTTCACATTTCTGCCTCAGCCTACAATATGTTGGAGACATGATGGCCCAGAAGTGGCCTAAAGATCAAAGCACTTTCAAAACCTATCACCTGTCTTTCTGGTTGTCCTTGCAGACCTCCTGAGATTAGGTTGCTTGTAAACTCAGGGGCAGTCTTAGGGGGACTCCCTCAGTGTCATGTCTGTCCAATTTTGGTCACAGCAGAAAGGATAAACTAGTAGTACCAGACCATTCACAAAGCACTGGAACCCATTCATATCACAAAAAAAAGGAAAAAGTACTTGGCCATGCACTAAAATTTGGGACTACCCAGGGTTTTTCCTTCAGACAGGCCAACTGAGTTACCCCAAAACTGACTGCTCTACACAGCAGTGCAGATGAATCCACTGAGAATACTGAGAGTTTTTGCAGAAGGGAAAGAGGTACAAATCTAGACGATAAAATGGAGATGAATATTGCTTTTCTGAAGAGTGAATCTCTGAGTTTTGACATTGTCATAAGTCCCTTAAATGTTTAGCCTCATCTTTGGATCATTACTGGCTCTGACATCTCCGGCCAAGTGTGCTCTAAGTGAGTAACTTCGCCTCCACATAACTCAGATTCTCATCTTTCTTGCCACATTCGTGGGCAATCTTCAGTAATTTATTTCTTCCCAGTTACTGATATAGCTCAGAAAAGTGCTCCCATGCTGAGGACGTGTGAGAACATCTTTCTCGTTGATTGGTTGACCAGATGGCAGTGATTGTGGCAACTCCCTCTTTTAAAAATCCTGGATTCATTCTATAATATTTTCCTCAGTTCATTTTGCAAGTATATAATGGTTAAAAAAATATTGATTTGTGGCTAAAAGTTTTCTCATGCAAATCTAACCTTTGAGGTGAAAAGTCATGGTAGAAGCTTAAGGGGAATCTTGCGTCACACTTACTGCTCAAGTAGAGGGACTGCAAATTTATCCCGTGATATCCCTCTCTTAATACTGTGTTATTTGTACTCTGCAGGGTGTCACTGTAAGGGCCTTAATTCTTCTGAATCCCCAAAATCCCCTTGGGGACATTTACTCATTGTCAGAGCTACGAGATTACCTGGAATTTGCGAAAAGGTATGTCAGTTTGGAAGGCTGAGGCATCCTGAGTCAGATACAGCTTCCAGAATCTGGTGTGCTACTTGCTGTCCCTGAATTGCTGTGAATATCTCTCAAGTCAGGCAAACTGTCTATTCTTCACACACAGTAGTGGACTTAAGACAGGAGAGGGGAGTGCTGGGAACATGGACTGTGCAGTCATCTGGGGTGGTAAAGCAACTTGCATCAAGGAATGCAAGTTTTATTTTTCAGTAATCCTAGCAAGCACTGTAGTGCTGTACTGCCCTGGTAGAAAGCTGAGTTCTTTTCCTTTCAATTTCTCTGTATCTGTAAAGACGAAGGAGTGTATGAATATGGGTTCCCAGCCTCATCATGGATCATAATACTCTCTGAGATTCCGAATCTCTCAGATGCTGAATTGATGATGATACAACTTATTCTAGATGAGTAGTACATACAGGAATTAATTTTCACTAGTGCATTGAAAATGATTGGATTTTTTCCTTGTTGTATGGTGCAGTGGGTGACAGTTAAGTGGCTATATCTCAAATCACTTCAATGTGCATATAATAGATCTGAGTTAAGAAAAACTGCTTTACTTTGCAAAATTTAGCATCCCCTCTTCCTTATATAAAGCAAGTATTTGCAGGCCTGAATTTATCCCTGCTTCTAAAAGTAAAGCAGCCTTCTTTAGTAATCTCCATTTTGTCCTTTTGCAGACATGAATTGCATGTGATAGTAGATGAGATCTACATGCTGTCAGTTTTTGATGAATCAGCCACGTTTCACAGTGTCCTAAGCATGGACAGGTAAAATCAGCTCCTACTTCCCTGGCCATCTTCCAGTGACAGTTCAACATGATGCCTTGCTGAGAACTTGTGACTGGAAGTTAAGTCATGAGCAAGCAAATTCTGAATCCGCCTTATACTGATTTTTTTTTTTTTTTTTTTTTTTTTTTTTTTTTTTTTTTTTTTTTTTTTTTTTTTTTTTTTTTTTTTTTTTTTTTTTTTTTTTTTTTTTTTTTTTTTTTTTTTTTTTTTTTTTTTTTTTTTTTTTTTTTTTTTTTTTTTTGTAATTTCTGAATGGCAAATGTATTTTGTCAAGTGCAATCTAGCAAGTAAAAATGACAGCTTTCTGTTGTGGTACACTTTTCAATGTGTGCTTCAATATTTGGTTGTGGCAGTCCCCAAAACTAGAAATACATGTTCATTTATTGAAAGTGCTGAGGCTTTTCTTCCTACCTAAACATTGTAATCTCTTTACCACCTTTTTCTTGATGCCTGGAAAAACCTCCTTTGCTGTTTATTTCCTTTTTTTTAATAGAGTAGTCTCAGATCAAAGTCTGGTATAACAGACTTGATAAAGGCTTTTATTAGGTATTTTTAAATGAGATGAAAAACTTTTCAAATCTTTAAAATATGGTGGGAGGGGTTGTTGTGAAGATGGGCTTTTTGTTTGTTTGTTTGTTAAATTTCTAGTCTTTACAAGTGGTGTTATCTTTCTTTTAGTGCTCAGTTGCAAGGAAATAAAATATTCTTGGTTAGGTGTTAGCACAGTGTTGCTAGGCTTGAATGTAAGAGAAAATGACTTCTGATTCTTGGAAAATACATTGGCACAGGTCTAATTTCTAGCATTATATGTACAAACTTCATATATTCAGGAAGTCTGTGTATAAAATGTAGCACTGGTATGCATCTGTATATCTGAAATATTTAAAAATTCTGTTTAAAACTACTTCCAGGGAGTTCCTAGCTTCTACAGTTATTTGCATTTGCATTTTCCCTGCTTGACTAATGTTCCTGGTGCACTGTCTATCACTGTGTAATGCTGCCTCTCTGTTTCTGCAATGCTGCACTGGTGATCCAAAAGCTTCAGCACCTATGACACTAACTGCCCATCTGCATCCTTCTACATACAGATTGCCTGATCCACAGCGGACTCATGTGATGTGGGGAATAACCAAGGTGAGCGCTGGTTGCCGTTGTGCTGTGGCTTTGTGGCTAGTAGGGTTGGTCTGGGATCCTCAGGTTCTCATGCTGAAAAGAGCAAGGTAGTAGCAATAGGATCCCAGCCTTTGTGTGTAATAAAAGAGTCTCTCTTCATCTTCTCCAGGATTTTGCTGTTTCTGGGATTCGTTTTGGTACTTTATATACAGAGAACCAAGACGTTGCTAATGCAGTGGCTTCTTTGTGTTATTTCCATGGGGTTTGTGGACCTGTCCAGCACAAGGTTGCACAGCTGCTTAAAGACAGAGGTGAGTCAGTAGCTCCGTGTAAAATCCTCTGCCATTCTGTGTTTTGGTACCTGGAGGATCCCCTCCCCTAACTTTCTTGAGTGGTCTCCTGTTTGTACAGCTTAACTGACAGTCTTCTGTTACCCTGAAACTGCCCATGCAACACAAGGCTGACAGCTCTACATAAAAGAATCATTTCTGCAGAGCTTCTGATCAGCAGAATTAGAGGAGCAGCTTGGAAGAAGCGTGGTAGCTATTTGTACAGAAATAGACAGTGTTGTGTAGAACCACACCTTGTGGGACAAGGGAAATGGAAGTTGATTTCTAACTCCACCCAGGATGGAATGCTAACAGTCCACAACAACTAAGAGCTATGAATGTAGGGAAACTTCCTTAGGAAGGTCAAGAAGATACTCTGGTGCACAGACATGAAATTGCTAAGTAGTTCTTGCCTGTCGTTTTGTTATTTGAGTAAACAGAAAACAAAAGAAGGAGATGAAGGGTGAAATGGAAAAAGACATAGAGTATTTTGGAAACCTGAACCGATCTGAATACTTTCTCAGTTTGTGATTCTTTTCTTCTCCTTCTGGTCAGACTGGATCAACCAGGTGTACCTGAGGGCCAACCATGCCCGCCTAAAAGCTGCCCATACGTATGTGACAGATGAGCTGAAGACACTTGGGGTTCCTTTTCTCAACCGCAACGCAGGCTTCTTTGTTTGGATTGATTTCCGAAAGGTTGGTAGTCGTAAAAAGTGAGGCTTCTCCTGGGATGAGGGCAGGTACACAGTGCAACTGCATCGAGGAGAAAGGTTGATATTTTGTTTTAACAAATCTGTTGTCTAATGAGGAGAGGGAAGGACTGTCAGGTGTTTCAGTCTGTTCTTTTCCTTCCGTCTATCTGTGAACTTCCCTTCTTGCAGGAATCTTACTACTCTCAAGCCACTTTCCTCCCCATTTCTTCCTTTATATCACAACTGCTGTACTTCAGAGGTAAAAGGTGTCTCCCTTGGCCTTTGCAGACCTCATGGGAATCACAAATTCATGAGGATCTCAGTGATTTAGCCTTTATGTTACTAACATCTGGCCCTTCTGATGACTCTTCTAGTACCTTAAGACAGGCACATTTGAGGAGGAGTTGCTACTCTGGAAGCGTTTTCTGGATAATAAGGTCCTCCTGTCCTGCGGAAAAGCCTTTGAATGCAGTGAACCTGGATGGTTCCGCATCATCTTTGCTGACAAAACCCACCGGCTACAGTTAGGCGAGTAATGTTTTCTTCTCTTTTTTCTCTCACCAGAATTTCTAGAGCACTGTTCCCTTCTCTCCTTAATCCTAAACTTAGCCTATTGCTATCCTCTCGTCTTCTCTGTTTGTCTTTCCTGTCTCCATCCTCCTTTAATGGATCTGATGGTTTTGAGACACTTATGGCTCAAACTAATCCACTAGTGTTTATCCCCCTTATACCACTGCAGGTATGCAACGGATACGCAAGGTTTTGGAAGAGCGGGAGCAGGAGATACTGGCAGAGGAGAAGGAGCAGCCCTGTCAGTCAGATCAGGATGGCAAAGCAGATAGCACAGATGAAGTAATTTTTGTATCCCGCCACCAGGAGCCTACCTGTGCTAACAGCACCAGCCTTGGTGACCTCATTGGCCTCCTGCAGCAGCAGATGCGTTCTTCTGACTGGCTACAGAAAAACACAGCTGAGCAGTTTGCACAGGAGAAGCCAGAGATCTATGATGTGTTCAGCAAACTGGTGGGGAAGCAGTAATGGTCTGTGTTCCTTCAGAGACGTTCCTGAGCAGTGACTGACCCTTACAGCTCATAAGTGACTTCCAGCAAATAATATATTTTCTGTATAGCAAGAAAATTACTTTGTAAGCCCCCTCCTCTTCCCCCATTTGAGATCTCTAATTTGTACTATATAGGTGTATTCCTTGGATTGGGGTGAGGGTAGGGAATGGGGGGGGGGTCTTGTTTTCCTGCTGCTCCCTGTCCTGCAGCATCATTGTATTTTGTATTTCATTTCTAATGAATATGTTCTTAACTCTCTTACAAGGTCCTGTGGTGTCATTTTTTTTCTTCTTTGCAAGAAGACAGAGACTTCAGATTGTTAAAATGTGTAAAGTTTCCCTTTTCCTAAAGGATGATCAGATGTGACTGTTTTGGGGCCAGAAGATCACTGCTGTCAGAAAGAGGTGTTTTGGGGAAATAGAACCCAATGTCAGCCCAAACTTAGCCCCAGCTAAGGGTAAATAAGCATGTATATGGATTCATCTGCGTGAGTGAGGCTGGTTTTGAACCATGGTCATCTAGACTGAGTTCTGTAAAGCTTTCTTTTTCCATTTAAACTAGATCTAACCTCAGATCAGACGGTATCCAACACCCACAGTTGATGAAATGCCTGTTTTTAGGTTTATTCTACTTTTTTATATTCATGTAAATAAACAGCGTTCATTGACCTGTTGGTAGAGTGTCCACAAAAGAGCTATGAACACAAGAGGCAGTTGAAAGTAAATGTTGTTCTACAGCCTTCCTATTCATGGAAGTCCATCCTGTCTGGTTAACAGTGAGGTATGTTGGCAGGACAGTGCAGAGAATGCTTCTGCCACCATGCTAGGTGTACCTGCAGGTGCATCTGCTTCTGTCACCTACCACAGGTTTCCAAGGTGGCACCTTCCACCATTATCAGGATAATTAAGGCAATTTTTAATCTATATTTGTCAATTTGCAGAGTAATTTTTTGACTAAACAGTATTCTTCCACCTCCTCTCCTTCTTCCCTTTCCCATTTTAATACACTTTTCTGTATGCTGGTGATAGAGTTTTTCAGTTGGAAAGCTTCTTTCACAGATACAAAACTCCTTAATTTCTGGTACTGTAAAACTTTAGGTATCTTAAAGGAATTGAAACTGTTTCTTCTGCATACATATTAGTCCAGAGTTGAAGGAAACTGCCCATGAAGATGGAATGGAAGTGCACCTTTCCCCTCGTGTAATTTGTTCTAATAGCAACCAAGTTTCATCCTGGTGGCATTGTAGAATCTGTTTATATAATGAGCTAAAGGGGTGAAAGATAAAATTCTGGCTAAATTCTGTGCTGTCAAAACAGTTGAAATTTGCTGATCACAAGTGCAGAACCATATTCTACTCTTCTTATCAAGCTCCAATATGAAAAAAATCGTCAGTCCCATGAAATACTTGCATCTTACTTAGATTTGTAGATCATTCAAGAGAAGGGTGTTATTGAGAGCTAACAGGAAATTCATATTAGTCTCTGTTTCAGTCTTTAAGTAAACCAGCTTTCATTTTATAGTTACTTTGTGAGGTGGGATGTCAGTGAATGCTGGCTCACAGTTGTACCATTGTTGCTCTGCTAGTTTTGTTCTTGGGCATCATTGATTTTGGCAGATGGGCAAGAGTGACAAAAGCGTATGTCTGCATTATAAACCAGATTACCCAGGCATAGGTAGCAAATAATTAATGTGATCACACATTAATGTATGGTGATGGTGGAAAATTGCCTGAATGGTGAGAAGTCTGAGCAGTGGCTGAGGAGATGGTGCTGCACATGGCTGCTGTTAGCAGTAACCGGCTCCTCCCTCAGAAGCCAGCAATGAGGCAAGGCTGATGAGGTGGTTGGTAAGACCAGTATAAGGGATAGTTATAAACATCATGTTTGTTTACTAGTTTGGCATTTGTCCATGTGCAATATTTTAAAGGACATTCTTTATTGTAATTTGCTTTCCATTTCATCTTAGGTGTCCACAAAGTAAGCTATAGTAGAAGACAGGTCTCCTTAATGGAACGGAAGGTGAGATGTACAGTTGAAATACAAATGAACTTCCTGATTTATCCCCTCATATTTAGTACCCCAAGGAGGAGCTAAGAAACAAAAATATAGGGAGCAAGCTGTTTGAAATCAAGAAACAGGTAAGACAGTATAGGCATTAGTTGAAGTGGTATTTCAGGGAATTCCTGTAACAAACTCAACCTGTTAATTACTCCTAATTTTCTTTTGTTGTTCTAGTCACTCTTATGATTGGAGTATGTGAATATACAACATTAATAGTTAATATAATATTTTTCACCTGTATATGTTTACTGCTCAGAAAGCGGGTTTATTGTACAGTCTCTGTGTGCATGCAGCTAGTAAAGCACACCTCTGTAGGAAAGAGGGTGTAATATGCCTTCAAAATCCTCACAGCTAATATAGTATGGCCCACAGTCACTTCCATCTGAGCTTGCTGGAACTCAAAATAACAGAACACACAAACACACACTTTGTTGCATGGAGTATTTTCCATGTTTTTTTTCCATTTTTTTTCAGCTGAGGAGCTCTCCACTAAGGCATTTTAGCTTGGTCACAGAGAACAAAAAATTAACTGGAAATGAGGCAAGAGAGAAATGTGGTGTCATAAGTCTGCTGTTGAAATAAGCAATATTTTTTGTTGACTGTACAAACCCCATAAATTTTGCAAATGGCCTTTACTGGTTGACAAGAATTGGTAAACATGTAGAAAGTCCTGTGCATATGTATATAGAAGCTAAATCAACTCTTATTTGCTCTGACTACCCGGAGAGAAAAAACACAAACTCTGCCTGTACAAATTGTTTGTTCCTTCTGCTGCCTCCATGTTAGATGTTCTCTCTGCTTACTGTATCTCATAATTCTCATTAATGGCCTTTTTTTTTCTTCCTGTGTGTCAAATCTTTACAGAAAAAAAAAAAAAAAGAGAAATGATTAAGAACTCTCCCATCCAGTCCCTGCCCCTGCATTTCTTTTGACCAGTTTGTTAAGCAATAGGCAAAAGAGCAGCATCTCAAATGAATCTAGTCAGATCTATATTTTTAAAAATTGCTGCATTTCATCTAAAATTAGAAATGCCACCAAGATTATTATAACAGTGTGAGCTTGTGCTCATTATAATAAAACAAGATGATAAAATCTCCTTTGCATACAACTTTGGTTCTCCAGTTATTATTTGTTTGAGCATAGAAAGGTTCCTAGGTAGTTTCATGATCCTTGCCACATTCCAGTAACACTCTCTCTGTCTCTCTGCCCCCCTTCTCCACACCCCCATCCCATTCTTTCTCTCTACTCCAGAGAAATGTTCAGCATTTTTAGGTTAGAAGTGGGAATTTCCTATGCAGCACTGCTCTCAGTCACAGAAACTTCCCTAACACACATTTCAGGCATAGACTTGACATTTTCATGCTTGTGGGAGGGGAAAATCTGTGAATTTCCAAATTATTAACCTGTGTTACATTGCAGTTAAGCAGACAACGTAAGTGAGGCCCATTCTAAATAAGTATTTAGGAGGGATCCTGCATGCTTAAAGAAAGAATCTGTGAAGATTAGTTTTCACTTACGGAAGTTGAATAGATCCTAAGCAAAATATCTGTAAGGGAAAATATTAACTAATAACTTAACCTGAACTAAAGAAAGGTAGTTGTTCAAATATACTGTATGATAGACTTTTGTAGTCTGGGTAGGGTTTTTTGTTTGTTTTGGGGGGGTGGGGTGGTGGTGTTTGTTTATTTAGAGGGTTTTGTTTGGTTTGTTTGGGATTTTGTTGTTGTTTTGGGGTTTGGGGGTTTTTTTGTTTGGGTTTTTTTTGGTTGGTTGGTTTTGGTTTTTATTTGTGGCTTTTTTTGATTGTTTATTTGTTTGGGGTTTGTTGGGGGTTTTGCTTTTGTCTTTTTTTTCTTTGTTTTTGTTGTTGTTGTTGTTGTTGTTTTTAAATAAGTGCTAATACCTTAATTGTGTCTTTCTGTCTTAGAACATCTAACAGATTGTACAGTTGAGCTGACTGCTGTGTGCTCCTCCCATCCCCATAGCGACCCAGTTTCTTAAAACTTGCCTTGGGGTCAAATTATCATTTAAATTGACAATTTCTCTGCAGTCTTCCTCCAGTTACTTGCTTACAGAATCCCTCTGTAGCTCTCATCCTGCTGGCAGAGTGGTGGTTTCATTTAATCAGAGAGATAGTGGCACACAAGGGCTGGATAAAAAACCTCTCATGGATTAAGCTACGTGAATCACACCCCTGAAAATTTCTGCATCTAAAATATCAGGCATGCAAAAGGATAAAACTGCATTTTGCACTTTTAATTATATATGCAGCTCTTTTTGTAATATTGGCTGACCTAATAGGAGATTGTCTTGGTTATTTCTGAAGCAATTCAGATTGCACCATGAAGAACAGGGCAAGGTAACTTACAAGGATATATAGACAAAAAAGATACGTGTTCCATCTGAGAAAATCAGAGTGGCAAGATACACTCCTTTTCCATCCCAATTAATCCTTTATTTATTACCGACTTATATAAAACACTGTCAACTGACTGATGACAAGATCCTAGATTATCTGCAGCCAACAAATGTCCTAAAGAGTCTGAGATGGTTATAAATACTCCACTTTTTGTCCTCAGTTTGCCTGGATTGGTTATTTTTAGCAAATATCCAGTCGACCTTATCAAAATGAAGAATCAAAAATAGTCTGGAAAAACACTGCAAGGAAAGGCTATTTTTAGCTCTCTGTCTATTCCCTGCTGCTATCCAGCAAGGTCTGATGGCACAGCTCATGCATGAGTGCTTAGTTATTCTAGGCGAATGCTTGTCGTGACCTGTCCTTTCCCTAGATACCTCACTGCAGAAGGAGTTCAATTGATTAAAGATTAATGCATCTGCAGACCGTGACAGCTGAAAGCTTTAGGGAGGGGGAACCTACACTGGCAGAGTGTTTCTGTCTGCACCTTTGTGCTACATTATAGTTTCTTTGAAGGGAACTCTTGCCTAACTGAATCATTCTGTGTCTCACGTCCTTCAGTGGCTGCTGTTGCAGCAGACCTCCAAAGTATATTCAGCTTTTTCCTTTCAATTCAGGAAGGCAATAGAGGAAGTAGAGTTAGAGATATAAGGTAGATCACTGTTTTGACCAGTGCCATCCATCACAAAGGAGCATTCAATTGGCTGCTAGTTATTGATCAGACTAGTTAAAAACTCCACTAATATAGATGAGGGTATCATTTGGTTGTAAGACTTAAACCTGAACAGTGAACCAA